GGAAACAGTAGAAAGACGCCTGGCATCGGAGACAAACTCTTACAAGCGAACAAAACAAAAAGGCAACCGGATGACCAAGATTGAGTAAATCTCCTTCGGGGAGGGGGGAAGCGTGAGGTGGAGCGAAAGAACCTAAAGGAGGCCAAACGACAAACAGGCGAAACCCATGGGGGGCCGCCAAACCGGGCGGAAAATGGCATACAGGCAGTAAGACGAAATAAAATATAATCAGTCGCTGGCGACAGTCCAGTGTGCATGTATGACCGGGTGCCATGCATTTTAATAAAGTCAAAGAATCACGAAAGCAGCGGGAGACACAGATAGAGAGAGAAAGGAGAGTAGTTGTGGGTCGTTGAAGTAGTGTCCCACATGCACCACAGCATGGCACGCCATGGAGGCGGGGGCTCACGAATGCCTGTGTAAACAAGAAAATAAACAAGCAGATCTACTCTGAGTTGGTTATATGTGGTTTCGAAAGTGTTCAGGTATTGGTTCGCCAGAGACGGGACACCGGCTCCCAGATGAAAATCGCCACAAGCACGCACAGCAGGCTGATGTTTAGGAGGATGGCGGTAACGCTAAAAATAGAGAAGAGAACAGATAAGTCACGCACTGAAAGACTGCAGCAACAGGGGGAATAAATTAAACCATATCCCAAAAGCAGGCTGATTTATCTATGCAACGACTTCCTCTCCTCCGGAATTCCCTAGCTATACGCTCCCAAGAGGGGGACAAGAAACGGTCTGATATAAATGCCTGTGTTCAGGATGAGGGTACTTAAAGTACAGGAAATGACCAAACACAGTACTAAACTTGTCTGAACGCATTTGTTCTTGCGGCACCGAAGATTTGGGACCGTAAGCGAAAAAGAGCATACCATTTATCACGTAGATCGACACCCAAAACCACAGCATTTTGGCAAGATAATTTTTTTTGTACAATATATTTTCTGCTAATGCGTACAGAAGATTAACAGATTTCGGAATACCTTAAGATACAAGTCAAGTGAAGTTTATTAAGGGGAATATAGGCGAATGCCTTTGAACTCCCTATTGGTACACAGTAGTTAAGAAATGCATCGGCACAGCCGAACATTTCAAATAAGTCGTTTAGCTAATTGTAGGCGACTACTCGCTTGTTTAAAGTAATACACTCACATGTGGTGGTGTCAGTTAACAAGAGCCAGCAGGTGTAACTAAGCAAAAATAGCAGACAGTGAAAAAACTCCTAAGGCATGGCTCAAAATTCAGAGATGGAATGTCATTTGTGGTTTGGTGCACTTGCCACCCCAGAACAGGACCTAAATGTGATCAAGAGTAATGGGAAAAAAGCTCCAATATTAAAAAGAATCTTGGTTTTTATTTAGTTGCGGCCGAAATTTCACCACTATTTTTCAAAGAAAATAAAAAAAACGTTCAAAGTTTCTCATGTGCACTTTGAAGTTTCTTTGGAAAAAGACAGCTTACGTAGACGTTCATCAACTGAATATCTTAGTAAAGTGTTTGTTAAAGAACTAAATTATTACAGAATTTATTTGAGGAATATTTATTGTCAAAATTTGTGTGGACGGCTCGAGTGACTGTACAAGTATGATCCAAAGAGACCTCTGCATTATAAAGAGTATTCCAAACCTCCCTTTCTCGATATATAATTTTAAGAAATATTTTCTTTGAAAGGTTTTATTAAAAACATTGGGCCGAATACCAATTAATGGAAAAAAGTTCGAAAACTTAAAAAAACTGTTGAATATTCACCGGACGATCTGAAAAATTATGAACCAGGAATATATGTATAAAGAGAAATCCGAAGAAAGAAAAGTTACTTCAACAGAAACAAAGTGTATGTAAAGGATTTTACCTGACAATTCTATTTTTACATTTATAGGTCAAGGCTACATCCATTTTTTATGTTTTCACTATTTGCCGATTTTTATAGTTACTATTTCCGAGTAAACCAGTAGCAGCTTTTCATAGTGAATTGAAAGTTCAAGTTCGCCTAAGGTTGTCCACTGTGACTCGACAGATTTGGCTCATGCCTATGCTGCCGGTTTGCGAGGGATTACCAATCATTCGGAAATTTCGACATTTTTAAGGAGTTAGCTCCACTCTACTCTAACTGTTTCCCACCCAAAAGAAAAAGTACCGTGCGCCTTCAAGGGTAGGCGGACTACTGTCAAACTAACCGGTTCTGTGTCACAGTTGCACCAGCGTTGAGGAAGCGAATCAGAATCTGGATGAGAGCTGTGATGAAGGCGAAAAAGGAGACGCCCAGGTCTGTGAGGGTGTGCACAAACAGTTGGCGTGCACGTGGTTGATCGCGGGCAGGACTGGCAAGCTGCTCCACAGACTTCTCCATGATGTTAAACTAAAATGACACGAACAGGGAGATAGGAAGGGGATAAATATGCAGGCGAAAGTGAGGGGGGGGGTAAAGAGACAAAGAAAAATTGCGCTTAAAAAAGCGGAGAAGGGGGAGGGGCGGGTAAACAAAAACTTGTTTTTTACACCCAGCGGAAGTGGTAAAAACAACCCCAAAAGACCTTGAAACTTAGGGCTTGTTCCAGCATTTTTTTCACAACCATCAGGAGGCCAGTAGAAGTGTAACCCTGAGATTGTATACCGAAGGGGTGAATGGGCGTGTCCACAACATCGAATCCAGGAGATACAGCAGACAATACGTATAGAAGGCTCCAGCAGACAGACAGCTATTGCCAGGCTGAGTCGGGTTTTCGACTGAGGGATCAGCACGCTCTGAATGAACTTCACCATAGGAGAGACTGTCCCTCCAAACACTGCTCATAACAGAAGCAAACAATCACCTACTAGACCGCAGGTAGAGAGCTCGGTTGACCAACCAACCAACCAACTAGCCCACCTTATTGTTCAGTGTCGTAAGGATGTCCTGGAGATCACGGGTCTTGGTTGCCAGCTGGTA